CTTTATAAATCTATTCATTAATAATTTAAATAAAACAAAATGAGAATAATATTAAAAACATATTTAACTTTGCCATGCGATTAAAATTAATGCAATTAATTTTAAAAAACTTTATTTATAATCAATGAATTCCTATTAACAAAAAATAAAATGTCGTTAATTCATGAAATAAATAAAAGACATCATTTTTTATTAATAAGTGACAAACTCATTATAACCGATGACATTTCAGTTTTAATTATAATTGTTTAATTATAATTTTTTATTATAATTGTCATTATCGTTGATATTCGAATTGTTGTGTGTCGGTTATTGCTGATTTTAAATTTTATCTGAGCATGTCCTCAGCTAACAATAAATGTGGAATTCAAGCGCAGGATCACGCAATTGTGCGGTTTCACGCAGTGCCACAACTATAAAAATGATTGACGCGAATTTACCGGGGCACACTTAGCAAAACTCGTTTTTCATTGACAAAGAGAATAAGAGGCTTGACGGCGAGACGTTTATAATTAGCAAACATTTCGCGACTTGAGCGATTGAGAGAGTAACCAGTGGATAAACATCTTCTTGGCACACTATGCTCGACCACGAGGACGCGACCAACAGGTTTTTCGTAGTTAACCTATTCGAGTGCATTCGTGACGCGAAATACTCGTTGCCTTCAATTGTGGGCACACCGGGTGTCTCGAAATTATTTATTATCCCGCCAAGTATAATAACTAAAGACTACGAAGAAAAGGAAAGTTTTCGTTCTCTTTGAATTCTTCTTGTTATTGTTATAAATTCGTAATCTTTATCACTTTGACAAAAATCTAACACTGGCTAATTTATTATTAAAAGACAGTAAATTAATTACTTATTTGGAGTACTAAAAGCTCTGAACAACAATGGTTTTAATATTTGAAATAAGAAATTAATTATTGTCTTTCAGTATTAAATCGATCAGATTTTTATAAGGACAGAGTCTTTATCAGAGCTTCCAATAGTTTTCTCTTAAGTAAAAAAATATTAAATCATAAACATCTCTCCATAAAAAAAAATCCATAAAAAAAATATTTCTGTCTTACAATCGTATTAAATTTTCAATTTTTTTTTCATTTTTGTACAGGTGTATCGTTTATGCGAAGATCTAGTTTTTCATCGATCACGTCTTGAAAAGAAACGTCTTTGGAACGTCCACATGTTTCTCGCCGGCCTTCAACTATTCCTCATGTTTCATAATTAATACGAGTACGCCTAATGTCTCTTAATGTTAGTTACAGCCATGAAACGTCATCGATACTCAATATCAACGTCAGCAGCGTTGATAGGAATTGTTTACTTTGCGCTTGAGATGTTCAAACTAGCGAGAAAATATAGATATTCTTGAATGGTGGAGCTATTTTTTAATTAAATTTTTTTCTTCCTTCTTATAACTCTTCAAGAGTGCAAGCGCACTTTCCTTCGCCTCCTTCTTTCCATTGCACTAATAGATCAGATTATTATGTTTTGCAGAATGACGTCAGTGCGTATGATAAGTAGCACATTCAGAATACGTATACACATACATATATAGTTTGAGATGACATTGTTTTCATCGAGACAGATCCTCCTAAGATATTTTAGACCTAATAAAATATTCTTATAAAGATATTTTCGTTTCCCAGCGCTATTTTTAGCTAAAGGAAGCGAACTCAGCCACGCGATTGTTATCGGCTTTTATACGGACAATGCTTGCTATTTTATTTGCTTTTTTCATTTCATCATATTTTGTCAATAAGAAATCGATTATATATATATATAAAACTTTTTAAAAACAAACAAATTGTACTAGTAAAAGTTACTTTTCCCGCTGAGAAAAAGAAATATGGATGAGGGTTAATTGCGCCCTCCTTCTTCTGCTGAAACGGTAAACGATTAATTGAAAATTTATAACAATTACTTATTTATTTAAAATAGTATAAGGGCTGATGAGAATACAGCGCGACAGTTGGTCGTAATTTAACAATCGATAAAAATGATATTTAGATTTATTTTATTGTTTGAACATTCGGCTTCAGTGAAATTGAGCCATAACGAACAATAAAGTAAATCTAAATATACTTTCTATTGATTGTTAAATTGCGCATCAATTACCGCTATACTCTTATCAATCCTTTCGCGATTTTAATTCACTTTTTCGAGAGTCCTGCATAGTCTTTTAAATTTATTTATATATTACACTAAAAAAAAAGTCTAATCGCATTAATTGAAATTCCAAGAATGAATGGTAGATACAATCATAAAAGTACAGATCAGACATTTATTGTTAAATCTATCAAACATTCTAGTTGAGATAATCAGAAATTCAATTATGATAATTAAAATTCTGGTCAATGTGATAATTTTGTTCATACTTGTTAGTACAAGGACATTTTTCTCAGAGTAATTAATAATAAATTTATGTCAGCCAGAAAAAAATTAGATAATTTCTAATAGTATTGTATTAAATGCTCGCATTATATTCCATTAATAATTTTGTTAAACTATTTTTATCTAAAATCGAGAGGCACTATAAAAGCCTAAGATTGTAAGTAAAAAAATTAGCAGATATTACGTAAACGATAATTAACTATTAAGCGATACTTTATTTAAGTATCCATTTTCTATTAATATCTAAAGTTGATTTCTCATAAAACCGATTAATTTGCAACAGAAATTTTTTCTTTGCTTTTCTTTCAGAAATAATATTTTATCGGATCGTATGCCATGTGCGAACGGAGATTATTTAATCGCATTAGAAATTTTATTACTCTTAAGTGCTTTAGCGGTTTTTTTCTCTGAAAGATTAATGCGATTACGTAACGAAAAGCGCGCCAGTTGTTTTCATTGCAAATAAACAAACGTGGGCGTATCGCGTGTACACCGGCGAGATACGAGACTGTTAATCGCGATTAGTTTGAGGCGCAATGATCTCGCTTTTTAAGGAATTAGAGATAATTACTTAGTAATTCAATTTATTTTTTTTCACGGTTGACCGTTCTTGTACCGAAGTCCTCAAATTCTCACTCAGGACGAAAGAAATATAAAAACTCAGTAAATAATAAGTTCAACGAAATTAAAACTCTACTTCTAACGTATCAAGGGAGATCCGATCGCATCGCAGGCTTGTCCATGAAGATGAGAAAATATGAAGAGAAAATTTAATGAAAATTAATTTTAAGAATTCTCATCTTCACGCAGGGACTGATTTATTAATTAACTGATTTGAGCCGACTTTCTATTATGTTAAAAAATGGAATTGCAGAGGCAGATAAACCGACGATTATAACGACGATCTAATGCGACCGGCATCCCTATCATCACAGACAAGGAGGGTTGCTCCAGCAATTACGCGCTTACCTCGTTTGAGAGGCGCGACATGCATGACTCTTGGAGGGACCGATAAGAAGGGCGGATCGTGAGACCGCCTCTCATGACACCACGCCGCTACTTTTCAGTGCAACCACCGCCGTTCGCTCCTTACGCAGCTGCTGTCCTCGCGTCCTTCGTCGTCCTCGTCCACTCGCAACCCTTCTTCTTCTTCCTCCCCGTCGACCTCTGCCCTTCTACTTCCGGGACCGGTCCCTGCTGTCGCTCTTCTCAGCGTGTACTCGCTCCTTTCTCCTTGTCGCGTATTATCTTTGTTCTCTCGTAAGCTCTCCTCTCGTTTCTCGCTCGTCCTCGCGACGACGCTGTTCAATCAGTCCGTCGAATTTACTTATTCGCGATATGTCGCTCTACAAGTCTCCTCTCTTCCGGTTCTCTCTCTCTCTCTCTTTTTTTTTTTAATCGACTGTCGCTGATGCCTTTGTCAGAGTAATGTTCCACGACGCTCCCTCAACGAGCTTTCGCGCTTTACTGGGCGTTCGTCGGAGCCGTCGGAGGCGAGGTCTACCAAAGCCACCGGCTGTCGAGGGTCGAGGGAGTGGAGAGACGCGAGGGTAAAGCGTGAACCGGCGCGGTACGGCGCGGCGCAGCCCGGCGCGGCGCGACGAGACGCGCGCGTCGGGGAATTCGCTCGATACCGACGACGGAGCGACGCCACCGTGAATCCTTACTCCAGAATGGTGCGTAGCATCCATTGGTTATCCCTCGCTCATCACGGACATCACGCGGCTCCTGCGTGCGGTAGCCACGCAGGACGTCTGATCGTCGGCACTTAATTTCAATGCCATTATTGCCACTTCGTTGAACTCGTTTTCTGCATTCGGGGTCAGATGAATGTTTGCGTATGACCTTTGCAACAGAATCTTTATTTACCAATGTATAAATATATAATAGTACAAATCTATTATATTAAAAAAATTAACAATTTTAATATTGATATATTTTCATTTTTTATATACAGAAAGAATGGTTGTTGAAGCATCGAAAAATTTGGCTAAATATAGATTTAAAAATTATTTTGTCGGATTATTAATATTTAAAGTAATTAAAATGCTTGAGTTGGTTGTGAGAATAAAATTTTTTTACGCAGTATTGCGCATCATGCTTGAATTTTTGACTGAATAATTATTTTAATAGTCCACACATTAAATATACACTTTTTCAGATGTTAACTTAAATTAAAAAAAAAAAAATAGCAAAATTATTCTTTCCGTATACAGTACAATGCATTTATTTAAGAATGTTGCAGTCGAATAATTTCAGTAAATACTTAGGCCGATATTCACAGTCGATTCTTACTTCAAGATTCTTACTACCATCTTAAATAATGTTTTCATCGCAGGTGATTGATTTATGATGTCTCAAGACTATACTTGAGATAGTTATAAATATAAAAATTGACTGTGAATACTAGTCTTAATCTTAGAATATTAAATCTCAGAATCGATCTAAATTGAAATTATCACAAGTATTAAATATTTCCAAATTTCATATAGCATCATTATTTGTACATGTTTTATTAATTTGAACTTTGCAACTTATATGCATTATTTACCAGATTTTTAGAAATCTATTATGCTCTTATTGGTAAAATTACAGAAAACACATAATAAATGTGATTACAAATTTATTATACTCATTATAGAAAATATTTTCAATGCAGCTATTTTATCTCTTCATCAGTGATGCAGTCGATGCAGTCTTCTTGATTAATCTGCTATAATATACAAATAATATTAGCAAATATGATCACTCGTTTCATATGTTTTGATCGATGATCGAATTACTTCTATCAGTTATGGTCTTCTTGTAGTAGTCTTTTTCTCGTTTTTAGGATTTAAGGACCGGGTTTACTTCTTTATTCCGTGGGAATCCTGTTTTCTAAGGAATTAAATTAATTTATTTCGTCAATTTGGAGAACGTCGCGTATGAACGCTACATGTACATATGCATATATATACTATGTGTACAAATGTATACATATAAATATATAAATGCGCGTTATTTGTTATTGTATATCATTATATAGTACACATTATCGGCCGTTTCCTCTCTATCTTCCTTTCTCTTGTAAAGATATCCTAGGCCAGAAAATGCATTATTTGGTTCATAGAAAACAACAATACGCGACATACATTCGGAAAAATTGTACAACAATTGTTTATCAATACATATGTATACATATATATAGTTGTTAACAAGTAAATAACATGAAAAAAAGGCTCGGAATGTCTTAATATGCGCTGATAAAGTTGCGATAGACGATGGTGGCAAGCACCCCAAGAGCGATTGGAATCAACCAGGACCACCACGAACTGCAATTGCCAATCATCACATCACGATGCAGCATCGACTATTTACACATGATGATTCATATTTACACATAATACTTGAAAAAGAAACAGGCTTTCTGCCTGTATTTAAATGCAGACAGTATGAACACGTTCATATTTGATTTTATTCATGCAGTTGTTAAAAATTATTACCTTGATTTTGTCTATACATATTTAGCAAACTTAAAAAAAAATGTCTTTTTTTTAAGAAGGAAGAACATTAATATGCTATTAAGGACAAACTATTTAGAGCTACAAGCTTTGAGTATATGCTTAAGTATTTATATTGATCAATTGATAGAATTTTATTAATTGAACAATCAAGAAATGCTTTGATACATTTATAGCATCAAATGGATCATATTTTCAATCATTTGTATCAAAATATTAAAGTTTCAGAAAATCATAGAAAATAAAATTAAAAAGAGCTTTTTCCAAATATAAAATTCAACTTTTTAACATACTGTACAATACTAGCATTGTAAATAAAGCATTAGCGTTGCTAAAATTACTTTTAAAGCGTAGGATTGACTAAATAAGAAAGTTCTTGGAATTAGAGAAAGCATGAGCTCATTACAAATTTACTGATAAGCTCTTGTAATTATAATATATTTGCATATTACAAGTGTAAAAATATCTAAATAAGATAACATCAAGTATCGTTACGACATTACTGACTAGACATTGACTTTACAAAATACCCTTACTCAGATTTAATAACATTCATAGTTATAAAACTGGCCAATCACAGTCGTTCCATTCTTCTGAGGAACAGCTATGATTGGCTAATTTCATAATTCTATGAATATTATTAAATCCGATTAAGCATACCATGTAACAGAGGTCACCTTTAAATAAAAAAGATTTCTATATTCATACCATCTATATGTAATAATCAAAATTAAAGAAAGTTAAGAAGAAAAGAGTTACTCTTGTTAATGGGAAATTTAGGGACGTTTATGAAACATAGTGTCAAAGAAAATACATTTCTGGAACAGTAAAAAATATTCTGAAATATTACAACGTGATGAAGATATAATAGAATTGTGAAAATGTTAGAATCATCAAGTCTTTAAAATAGTGCGATAGAAAAATGAGAATAAGATCATACCTAGAGCTGTCTTCATTTCCATTAGACCAGTCCCTCGTTTTCTTTCCAGAATCTTCCGTTCTTTCTGTCTATAAAATACATACAAATAACCGATAATAAAGAAATGCAAGAATAATGTAAAATACAGCTTGTCGTGAAATCAATTCTTACTTCTACCAACTCTCCAATTTTATACGATTCCATCATTTGCCTAGCATCAGTTGAATGTCCAATATCTTCAAAAGCTTCTGTAGCATCTTGTCCGTTTTGTTCCAGAAGTACCTCCTCACCACCAGGATGCTATTAAAGAAAATTAACATATCAGAGTAGTTTTAATAAAAACTGTATATTTAAAAAACATAAATATTTCAGTAAACAAAAATAAAGATTCAAATTGAATTCAATAAAGATCAGTATCAAAGTTTTTATATGAGAGGAAAAACTGCAACCTCATTGAGAAACGAAGTGACGTTGTAGACATTATTATGAATAATGATCCATGTATCTCTGGAAGTTTCAGCATGCTTTTCCACTTCTTCCCGCGTGAAGAGTTTGCCAGCTGAAGTAGCAGCGGCGGTGTCATCTTTAAGATTCTGAGTTGCCATCTCAGTTAGCGTGTCTTTAGTTTTTCTTTGCTGACGAAATTCGAGATCACTATCCTTTAGGAAACGACTTGCGTCGATTGACTCAGCGCTTTTCCTCTTAATTCGTCACCGATGTTCCCGTTTGAACATCAACTGCCACGACTAGTAACGTTCACGAAATAATTCGACAAGTTGGACTTTGGTCACGATATAATCAGCGTTTTTGGTAGATCTTGATAATTTTGAGTTATCATCAGTTGTCGATGTGTAACTTGATTCCTGATTCCTGAGAGAATGAAGAGAAACTTGTATAATTTTTCAAGCAATTTCGGATTAATTTGTGAAGGTGCCGTATGAGGGCAACACGATCATGGTCGAATGCAGAGGTGCCAACTGTCAAGATACGTAAAGAATTTCACCTGACAACGTCAGTTATTTAATTGGCCGTTAACTAACCAATCGCATTTACTGTTTAGTAGAATTGATCAATTATAGTTGTTAGTTAATTTTGATTAAGATTAATCGATGTTGATGAAATCGGTTTTTTGTATATATATACATATATATATATCAACGCATATATACATAGACCAAACATTTCCATGCTTTTCAGTGATGGGGGAAACCGGAAATTGATAGTTTATGTGGCGTTTTTTTAGGACGTGCTATTTCACTCTGCTCTCATCAAAATAGAAAGAGACACCACGGGTCTTAAACGCCACATAAACCTGCTTCAAGCTACGGGCAGAATGTTTGTTACAGTCGAACAACAGGGGAATGCTCGACTATAGTTGGTTGGTTCTTACATTCTGATCCGGATTAAAACCTTCGGTGGAAACTAACATCGTTTTTGTTCCTGCTTCGCTCCAATGGCTCCAACTGTCTTATCTCAGGGTATCAATCATGAAACTTTATCCCTAAGATGAAAAGTGAAAATTTTAATCATTGAAGTTAATGGAGAAATTTTTCACTTTTCACTTTTTATCTTAGGAAAAAAGTTTCATGATTGATACCCAGGATTTGGGAGGTAGGTCTGGTGGGACGGCTAGAGTGTTCACGTAGTAATTGTAGCATTCGGAACAATAATGGACCAATCAGAGCGTAGCGTTTGGAATGTAACGTTCAGAGCATTTGGAAGAAGCAAGTGGACCGCAGCCTAAAAGATATCTTTATAACAATTTAGTCATCTTTTAGTTATCTTCTAGACGACTTTGTACTCTCTGAGGAGGCTCCGGAGAAGCCTAATTGAAAAACGATAACATTACCGATAACTATATAATAAAAATTTACTATTATATTAACATAAATATTTCGATAATTTATTATTAAATTCATTATTTTTATTATACAAATGCTGTATAAATAAGTACGCCGAAAAGTTTACAATTTTTTCTCTGCTGTTATCATCTCATATTAATTATCAAATTCGAATGATAAATAACATTAAAATCACAATTTTCAATAAATATCGAGTATTATTAAGTTTTAAACACATATATATGTTTACGAAACTAATAAATTATGGAGTTAGTATCGTATTATCAATTTCTTACTCTAATGCCCATTCCACCAATGTAGATTAACTTTAATCTCGATTCAACTTACTCTTCATCTTTTTCTAATCTTTAGAATTACAAAAAGACGAAGAATAAGTTGAACCGAGATTAAAGTTAATCTACATTGGTAGAAACGAGCATTACTCATTTAAATTTTAACAGACACGCGAACAGCGAACTTCCATAAGCGCCGATCGTCTTTAATATCTTATCGGTATTTCTTTCATTAATTAAAATTTTATTTCTATAAAATTATATTAATAAAAAAATA